CCCAAGGCGCTCGCTTCCTCGGCCCCCGAGTACCGCCCCAACTCCAACGAGCTCGGTCGCCTCACCTACTACGCCCAGAACAAACCCGCAAAACTCACAAAGGTCGGAAGCCTCCTCGAGTCCAAGGCAAATGCAGACGCGCGCTCCGCAAAGGCCTCTGGCGTCGCCGCCGACAAGGCCAAGGCCGGCCTCATGATCACCCTCGCCATCACAAAGAACCTGCTGGCAGAGTGCAAATCTTCGCTCAACTACTTTATCAAGCCCGCGCACAACATCATCGCCGCCGCCCTCGACGCCGCCCAGCCCACGCCCGCCCGTCCGCGTGACCTCGAGATCAGCGCACGCGCCGCAAGCGCCTTCTACGCCCTCGCCTCCTTCCTCGACCCCGCCACCACCGCCGTCGATGACGCCTTCCAACGCAACCTCCGCTCCTTTGCCGCCCTCGCCGTAGAGCGTCCACGCGCCCCAGACGCAACCCTGCCCGAGGACGCAGAGCTGCGCAACCGCACCCGCCTCATCGGCCTCGGCGCTCTCGCAGGCGCAGTCGGCTCCGACGCCATCTACTCGTCCAGCGCATCCAACCTCATCGCGCTCATCACCCCGGCCCTGGTGGAAAACGCAAAGCCGAACCGCGTCACCATCGACTGGCTCCGCAGCGAAGCCAGCAAGGCCTCCGACGGCGAACCCAGCTACGCCGAGTTCAACATCGCCAAGAAACCGCTCGCCATCCGCCGCGTACGCTCCATCTCGGCGCACGTCGCCGGCGAAAAGGGCCCTTCCTCCGAGGACGTCATCTCCGCCGCCATCGGCACCCTCCGCGGCCTCCTCCGCCACGCAGACGCCCTCCAGGTCCAGAGTGTCGTGCACAACGTCATCCTCTGGCTCGACAACAACTCCGCCCTCGCCATCCCCGCCCCCACCGACGGCCGCAACCAAGTCTCGCAGTGGGACAACACCGAGTGGTGCTGCTGGCTCGCACAGTCGCTCTGCACCTGGTCCGCGCTCCAGTACCGCTTCGTCGTGCTCGACACGCTCGTCGCCCACCTCGTCGAGTCCTGCGAGGGCACCGCCACCTCAAAGCACCTCTCGCTCATCCACATGGCGCGCACCATCCTCACCGCACAGCTCAGCCTCATCGGCCTCAGCACCTCCGACACGCTCACCAACCTCTCGGCGCTCGCCGTGCGCAGGGTGTATCGCGACACGCGCGACTCGCTCCTCCCACCCCTGGTCGACTGCATCAGCGGCCTCGGCACGCACGTCTACTACGCAGACCAGATCAACGACATTGTCGACGAGATCGCCGCACGCATCGCCGCGCTCCAGATGCCCGACGCCAACACCAGCGCCGACGCCGCCTCGCTCAAGCCCAACAACCTCGGCCAGCTCGGCCGCGGACAGCAGCTCGACCTCAACAACCACATCCACCGCCAGCGCCTCGCCAACGCAGGACCCGAACAGCGCGACGAGAGCATCCGCGTGCTCCTCTTCTGCCTCCAGGGCGTCCTCCGCGCCACCCACCACTCTAGCGGCGAGATCCACAAGCCGGTCGATGCCCCGGCGGCTCAGCAGCGCGACGAGGATGCCAAGGGCAAGGCGGCCAACGCCGAGACCAAGCTCGGTCTGGCGCGCGCGGGTACGCGCAACCGCGTCTCGCCCGCCTCGCTCCTCCCCACCGCCAGCCTGCTCGCGTCGCCCAACCACGCGGTGCGTCTGGCGTATGCGCAGACGCTCATCACGCTCTTCCGCGACGAGCTGGACCGCGAGCCGCTCGACTCGAACGCCTCGGTGTTTGCTGCGGCGCCCATCGGCGAGCGCGTGGGCGATGACATTGGTCTGGTGCACGCGCTCGGCGCTGCGGTGCACGTCATGTGCCTCGGCAAGACGCTCTCGCCGCCCGCGCAGGTGGTGGCCAACCTGCGTGAGTCGCCGCTCGAGGCGCTGCCGCATCTGGACCGCATCAACGCCGACCCTGGGCGTCCCGGCTCGCTCAACAGCGGCGTGTCGAGCGCGTCGGACGCCGAGTCGATGGCGGCGCTGCCCGTCGACTATGTCGCCGTCTCGCAGGCGCTCGAGCATCTGGTGAGCGCGCTGCCGTGCAGTGCGGCGCTCGCGCTGACGCCCATGCTCGTCGCGCTCGACCGCGATGCAGGCAGCCGTCTGGTGGTCAATGCCGCTTCCGCCAGCACGGGCCTCGAGAACCAGCGTCGCGTCTCGTCGCGCATGCTCGCCGCGCGCGTGTGGGCCAGGCTCGGTGAGACGTTTGACGTGCCCGCCATCACCAAGGCGGCCGAGGGCGTGCTGGCGCAGGTGCCCTCGCTGGGTGTCGAGCCGGGACCGTCGCCCGCAGCGGGGCTGACGCTGCCGCCCGAGGTGATCCCCTTTTCGGCGGTGGGCGGCATCAATGCGGCGGGCGACTCGAGCAGCTCGAGCTCGCCCTCGATCAACGCCAGCACCGTCGTCGGTGGCCTCGCCTCGAGCGCCAAGCTGCAGTCGGCTACGCAGCTCGACGCGGGCGTGCTCAAGCGCTGGCTCGAGCGCGACTGGAACGTCACCATGGCGGTCGACGAGGCGTTCAACGCCTCCAATCCGTACGCGAGCTCGTCGATCGCTTCGGCGTCGCAGCAGCCGTCGCGCCGTCCGTCGGTGACGCCGGTCAACGGCCTTGGCGTGGGCGGAGCATCGCTTGTCAACGGAAGCAATGCTTCGTCGGCCTCGCTCTCGCGCGGAGGCAGGCTGAGTATGCAGGTCCCCTCGACGGGTGTCAATGAGCTTCGCGAGGCGCTCGGCACCGCCTCGCCCGTGTCGGCCAAGCACACCAACGGCTTGAGTCACGACAGCGCTGCGGGCCCGGCTGACCTCGAGGGCCGCCGTGCGCACCGCCGCGAGTCGCGCCGTGGACCCATGCTGGGCAGCTCCAACGGCACCAACGGCACCAGCGCCGTCGCCATCCTCGACTCGCTCAAGGTGGGCGAGGAGCAGGACGCGAGTCTGCTCGGCCCCGACAGTGCGCGCACGGCCAAGACAGCCAGCAGCACCACCGCCGCCACCCCCATCAGCCCGCCGTACGCTTCCTAGTCGCTCCCCACTTTGGGCTCATTTCTCGTTCGTTATCGCCATCATACCACTCTCTTTTTTGATCCGCCATTGGCCAAGTGCTTGGATTCACCAGGGGGTCTGTGCGTGGGCTCCCGTCCACACAGAGCGAAGTTCGAGGCTCTGCGCGGTTCTGAGGGTGTGTGTCTGTCTCAAGTTCTACAGCCTCTGTACCAAGACGCACAGCCCATCGTCTTCCGATGCAGCTTGGTTTGAGGCTCTGCGGCATTCTTGACCAGCTTCTGTGCCAAGTCTGAGCCTCTGTCATCACCATGCCCGTATCTGAAGCGCATCCACTCGACTTTTTCCGACGTGGGGGTGAGGTGATTAAACGAATCTAACAATGCAAAAAAATCCCGCGCACCGACGAGCCAAAGCTGAGCGCGAGCCGCCTTGAGTCGAGTCGAAGCGAAATTCGTCGCCGCACGGACTGGCTGAGGAGCGACGATGCAGTGGAGAGGCAGCGGAGAGGCAGTGGAGAGGCAGTGGAGACGCAGGGGTAGAGCCAGAAAAGCACACACGCGCGCCCGCCATCGTCGCACCTTTCCCTTTGCACCCGCACCTCATCTCGCCATACGCTTGCACACACATTCATCACCATGGTGCGCATCTCGGCGACATCGCTCGCTTCGCTGGCGTGCTTCGCCTCGGCTGCCGTGACCGGCGCTTCGGCCAAGACCAGCCTGTACCTCTCGCCAGCTACGACGCCCGATGCGCAGGTCGACATCGATGCCAACCAGGCGCATCGCATCCTCTCACACCACATGCACGTCGAGCAGCACGCGCACGACGATGCGTCGTACCGGGATGCCAAGGATGTGTGGCAGATGCTCGATATCGGCACGGCACACGCCAAGATCGACAATCGTGCTGGCGTCGAGCGTCTCTTTGACGGACACAAGGACGAGCCCAACCGCCTCCTCGTCCTCATGCACGGCACTGCACACCAGGGTACGTCGCATGCACGCTCAGACTTGTGCCCTCCGCGTAATAGCTCGACTGACACCCTTTTCCGTTTCTTTGCGACAGACGTGATTCCCGCCAGCGTCGGGGCGACGCACAGCATCGAGGGCGCGCCGAGCTCGACCTCGTTCGACGCGCTCTTTGACAGCTACCTCGGCACCGTCTCGAACACGCTCAAGTCGTCCGAGTCGGCATTCTCGCACCTCGCAGGCACCTTCCTCGACGGCTTTACCGCCAGCATCGACTGGCTCACCTCGCACGCCGACACGGCCGCCACACGCTGGTCCCACCACGCCGCGGCGTTCGGCTCNCCTTCCTCGACGGCTTTACCGCCAGCATCGACTGGCTCACCTCGCACGCCGACACGGCCGCCACACGCTGGTCCCACCACGCCGCGGCGTTCGGCTCGGACGCCTTTGCCAAGCTCGAGCACGAGCTGCGAGCCGTTGAGGCGCTCGTGGCCAAGATGCAGGCGACGCGCGCCAACGACTCGGCCGACGAGCTCTCGATGCAGCCGCTGCGATTCTCGGCGCTTGGCGACGTCGAAGCTACCTACGGCACGGACAGCGTCGAGTTGGCGCGCGCCAAGCAGCTGGTGCGCGAGGCGATCGAGCGTGTCACTGCGCTCTTCCAGGCGCGATCCGAAGAGCACGGCCGTGTGCCTTGGATCGCCTTTGTCGTCACCGATGCCGACATTGAGCAGCGGCTGGTGAAGCGCTCCAGCTCGGACCTCTTGGCGCCGTTCCTGGGTGCGCGCACCTCGGAGCTGTCGCATGGTGCGGCTCTGCGTCCGGGCGATGTGCTTGCGTCGACTGCCAAAAAGTCGAAACCCTCGCCGCTGCCCAAGAACCTCGCCGGTACGTGCTTCGGCTCGCAGTCGGATCTCGACAAGGCCACCAACGGCTGTTCGGGCCACGGCAAGGGCGTCAAGTCGTCCAAGGGCGGCCGTGCGTGTTGGCGCTGCAAGTGCCAGCCCACCGAGGTGCGCAAGGGCAAAAAGACCTACTGGGCCGGTGCGGCGTGCGAGAAGAAGGACGTGTCGGCAGAGTTCATGCTGCTGGCGTCGAGCGTCGTTCTGCTCGTGCTCATCAGCGCTGGCAGCGTCTACTTTTTGTTCGCCCAGGGCTCTCAAGAACTCCCCGGCACCTTGGCCAGCGTCACCATCAGTCTCAAGTAACGACGTCCCGCTGTCTTCGTTCCGACGGCCATATACAATCCCTTTCGCAGGATCTTGAGTCGCAATTCCACTGCTTTTCCCATTTGACGTAAGGTGGTAAAGATGCGCGAGATCTTGCCTCCGTTTTGGCAGCATGTGCCTGCGCACCGGAGCCGGAGACAGGCCTGTGGCAGCTTCGTGCGTGGGTTGGGCTACATGCTGGCCGTTGGCGGACGGACGTGTACACTTTTGAGCAGGTATACCTAGCTTGCTACGTGGGAGAACTCGAACAGCACCTCAAGCTCGCAGGTGCACCAACCCAACTTCGCCGTGTCGACAGGTGTGCGCCTTTTTGCCGTGTGTGTGAAGCCGGCATGGTCATCTTCACGTATACACCCGCATCAGACTTGGCGTCAATACGAGTACGTTCTCGAAAGAGAGTTTCACACGTTGTGGAGCTCAGACCGTGTCCGTGCTTGCCTCCCTTCTTCTCGAGATGGACCGCTCAAAGGGACTGTTTGCAGTCAAAAGCCTGTCAAAGTCAATCAGGTGCATGGCCAAAGTTGAGCAGCCGCAGCACTCTATACACACAGACGACGGACGAACTAGCAGAGAGTATGGACACGGGATGGACTCGGATTTGTGCCGTGAGGAATCGGGCCGAATGGACCCTTGAATTGCGAGCTTTGTCTCTGCACCGCTCACCGCTGGTGGGGCATCAGGCCGTGCTTGGGCCACCCACGTGTGCTTCTTGCCACCAACTCATCTTCCCTTCCCTCGCAGGCTCCCACCTTGACACCCTTCCCTTTTCATCAACATCAGCGAGGCTGCATCCTCCGTTCCCTCACGGAAGCCGCAGCGCGCTCGTACCTGGACCATGTGAAAACCCGCTCCTACCCAGGCCACTCCAATTTTGAAGCTACATGTCGGCGCAGCATCGTCCGTCTCCGCTCCGGTCGTCGGATGCAACCTGGGTCACCTCGAGCATCATCGACAGCTCAACGCCCGTGCGAAGCTCGTCGAGTCGCGATCTGGTGCCCGCGCCGCGCGCGAGCGATCTCCAGATCATCCTGCGCACGCGCGAGCACGCCGCCTACTACGACCCGACATCCAACGAGCTCTCGCTGCAAAAGTGGCCACTGCCCGACCCCGCAGAGCCCGCCGGAGCCCAAGCGCCCCTGGTTCGCCATCGCTCATCCCAGACGAATCCGCAGACGGTCTTGCAGCGCTTCCATCCGCCCTCGCCGCTTCCCAGTCCCCAGCTCGATTCCGTCTGCCCAACGTGTGCACGGCCCTGGCCTCTCAACACGGCAGAACCTCGCGGTGCAGACTTCACCGCCAGCCGTGGCTTTAACGACGACGCCGAGTACGACGCCGAGTACGACCGCGAGGCGCCGTCGTACATCGCGCCCAACTACTTTCGTCTGCTGGCGCAGGCGACCTCGACCGGCGCCAGCGGCTACACGACACGGCCCGACACGCCGAGCCTGCTGCGCAACCGCTTCGAGTCGGCGTCGGGCTCGTCGACCCCCGTCGCCGCTTCGGGCACCTCCACGCCGCCCGAGCCGCTGCAGCACGACGCCGAGGCGCAGGGCTACTATGCACGCTTCTTTGTGGAGCTCAAGCGGCTGGGCCGCGGGGCGCGCGGAACGGTGTATCTGTGCCAGCACGTACTCAACGGCAACAAGCTGGCAAAGTACGCCATCAAAAAGATCCCCGTGGGCGACCATGCGCAAAGCCTGCTGCACAGCCTCAACGAGGTGCACCTCATGGAATCGCTCCACCATCCGCACCTCATCCACTACCAGCACGCGTGGATCGAGCGCTGCCAGCTCACGCAGTTCGGGCCCAACGTGCCCACGCTGTTTGTGCTCATGATGGCTGCCAATGGTGGCAGTCTGGCGGATTGGATCTCGGCGCGCGCGGGCGACGCCGCCGGTGCCGCCGAGCAGCTCGACTCGCACAGCGATAACGGACCGCGCAGTGCCCACACCACCACCGCTGCAGAGTCACCACAGAAGACAGGGCGCACCGACGACACGGCGTCCGACCGGCGCAGGATCGAGCGGCTCAAAGCGGCCTTACGCCAGCGCCGGGCGAATCGCAAAATCAGCGCCGACGACGCTACTAGCGCCGACCTTCCCACCACTTCGGCTGCAGCTGCGTCTGTCGATGGGGCCGCCAGCGCAGGCGTGGGCGTGCACCTCCTGCGCGAGGAAGAGATCTACAGCCTGCTTCGCGACATGGCTTCCGGCCTCGGCTTCCTGCACGAGCGCGGTATCTTGCACCTCGACATCAAGCCGGGCAATGTGCTTTTGCACTGGGACGACGACTCGCTCGTGCCGCGCGCGCTGCTGAGCGACTTTGGCTCGTCGCTGCTGCTGCACGACAACTGGACGCGCACGCGCTCCGGCCACACCGGCACCATGGAGTACATGGCCCCCGAAGCCGTCTTTCCCGACACCACCGGTCGGCTGGCTGAACTGAGCAGCAAGGCGGACATGTGGTCGTTGGGGGTGGTGTTGCATCTGCTGCTGTTTTTCCGGCTGCCCTACAAGCATACCGATGTGGACAGGTTGAGGGTCGAGATGATGGCATACAGCGGCTTTGATCGCGCACGGTGCGATACGGCGGGACGACGCGATGATAAGCTGCTTGGACTGCTCGAGAGCTTGCTTCAGCGCGATCCGGTGCGCCGGCCGAGCTGCAAGGATGTCCTGCGCGTGCTCGACGAGGCGCAGCACGCAGCCAAGGCCAAGAGAGAGCGCAGACGCAGCGATGACCATCGTGCACGCGTCTCGCTCGCCCTGCACCGTCCAGCCGCTCTTCCCCCGCTGCCCGCCCACACGCTCGGCGATCCACAGCATCGCAACCGCAGAACCTGGTGGCAAAGCGTTCCGTCCGAGGCGCAGCATATCGGCGTGGCGTTTGCGAAATGTCTCTCGCCCGCTTTGGTCGTACATGCCCCAAGCCTCGGTGTGGTCGTGGCTCTCGCGACGCTCGTGCTGCTAGCGCTGGTTGATCTGGTGGCGGCTGTAACGCACGCCCCGCATAGGCGCACTATCTCGCTCACCACCGCAGCCGCCCACGTCGCAATCCTTGCGTTCTTGGCAAGGTGAGGCGCAGCCATGGCGTCCACCGCACCAAGCCGTGCACTGACCCGGGTTGCGCCACTAGTCACTTTGCCCGCACTGCGCCTACGCATCCCCAATCACGGCGTGCTACGCGCCCCCCACCGCCACTACTGCAGATTCTCGCATCGCATTGCTTGCATTCCTAGCAGTGCAATGTGCATTGTACGATCCCGTGGGTTTGCACAAAGCCCTGAATTGAGGCTTGTCGCACCTTTCAGATGCATCCTCCTCCTCTGCGGACACTGCTCATACCCTGGTTGGGCGCATGTAGGTTCCAGGGCCTCGATCGCACCTTGTTCCTGCTCGTCTCGCCCGCACACATGGCGATTCTTGCATCCATGGCCGCCTAAAGCGTAGCCCTGCGGTGGCCGTCGCTGACCCGCTCTCACAACACTCCTCTCCTGCTCACCTCGCTCGCACACGCCGCACTCGTCGCACTTCTAGCCCGCGTGATATTCAGTTCACGACGTCGGTCGTACAAAGCCATGCACCGATGCGAGCGCCGCCAGCGAAGCGCCACCCTCTGGATCCTGTGACTCGAGCTCGTGCGTCTTTGCGCCTGGCAGCGCGGGTGTATCGCCATCATCGTCATCATCCGAGTCCGAATCATAGCTCGCCAGCAGTGCACCTAGTGGTTTGGCTCCGACCGCGGGTGTCGCGCGTGGCTGTGCGTGCTGCCGTGTGCCTGGCTGCCGGCGGGGGGTGAGGTCTACAGCGTTTGGCGCGGGGTGGGCCGTGGGCACGATGCGCAATTCAGGGAACTCCACCACCGCATATCCCTCGGGTAGCTGCTGGAGCAGCGCCGTGAGTGACATCGTATCCGGAGCGTACATGCGTGCCGTGATGGCTTGTGCCGCCTCGTCTTCTTGCTTTGGCTCCGCTTCTGGCGCGTGCCCAGGTGCGGCTGGCGCGGTCTCGGGAGGCGCACGTCCCAACCGCTGCGAGAGCATCGAGAGCAAGCTATCGGACACAATCCCCTCCCCCATCGGCATCTCCTCCACCTGTGGCTCCGACCGTTCCGGCTGCGGTGCGGACGGTGGGCTGTCGTGGCGCGGTCGAGATGCTTGGAGCTTCTGCTCGGCGGCGAGCTCCGGATTGGCCTCCTCCCAGCGCCGCTTGCGTGTCCACCAGTCGAGATAGCGCGTGGTGCTCTCGTTGGTCAGCCGTGCAGAGTAGGCGGGTACATGCACGACCCACTCGCTCGGCCACACGTCCAACGCCATCCACTGCTGATCCGCCCATGCACACCGCCGTGCTGGCGCCACCACCAACCCCGCCGTCTCCAACACTGCTGCCGCCACGAGCCACGACTTGTGCGCAACACCGAGCGCGTCCTTCGCCTTGAGCATCTCCTTGCGGGATGTGAACGAGCGGCGTTCGAGTTCGGCCAGCACAACGTCGGCCACGTTGCGCTCGGCGTCCTGTCGATGCACCATCCACCCGTCGCTGTCCCTCTCGTCGTTGCTGTCCTGCGCAGGATCGTGCGGGGCGGATTTCGCCTTGCCCTTGGCATGCGCGTCGAGATGAAGAGGAAGGCGCAGCAGCACGCTGAGTTCGAAGCGCTTCGACTTGGGGTTGAAGCCCGACTGGTTGCGTTTGCGACGCGCCATGCCGTCCGGCAGCACCATGACGCGCAGTCGGCGGTAGTGCAGTTGCTTGAGCAGCTGCTCGCGCTGGCGCTGCGCATTCGTCATCCCCCTCTGCTGCATCGGTCCCGCAGCGGCCCTTGGATCGTTTCCCCCACCAGCAGCGGCGGCGGAGGGTGGTAGGAGCTTCATGTCGACGATCCGGCGCCCCGCTTCGGCGGTTGTGCGTGAAATGGATGAGAGAAAGAGGTAGTCCTGCATCATGTGCGTCTCGCCGTACTCGGACATGGACACGTATCCTCCAGGCGTGCTCGTATCATTTTTGTTGCAAGAGCTTGTGCTCGGGCCGTTGGCATGAGTGGCTGCGGCCGAACGGCAGGGATGCTTGGCGGCGTCGGTCTTGTGAGCCTTGGTGCAGGCGAGCGAGCAGGTGCGCACGCCGCACGCGGGACACGTGTACTTGGCCGCAGCTGAGCACTCGCCACATTCGGTCGTCGATGCCGCCACCATCGTTGCACACCGCCCACAAGTAAGGAGGGTGAGAGAGGAGGTGGTGGCAAGGTGACACCCCCGGGCGGCAGGTAAAATTTGGCTCCGCCTCAAAACTTCACTCAGGGTCTCTAGTGTGGAGGCCGAATCCCGAATTCTCGTCCTCGCAGCCTTGGCACATGTGCTTCAGATGTGGGCAACTCACTCGATGTGCACGAAAGCGAAAGCGAGACTGTCTAGGAGTTTGGGACTGAGATACAAATACACATGCTTGAACGCACAGGCCAGCTCAGCGCCGGCCCTTTTTGCGGTTGAGGTTCTGGTGCCTGCCGTTGCCCGAGACAGGCATGCCGGCCTGGACATGATCGTCGTCGCGGTCCATGTCGTCGGCGTGTCGTCCGTCCATCTTTCTCTTTCGCTTGCCCGAGCCGCCTGCGCTGCCGACGCCCTTGTCCTTGAGCTCGCGCACGGCGGCGCGGTGCGCCTCGGCGACGCGCTCGCTGAGCAGCATGACGGCCTCCTTGTCGTTGCCGCCGGGGAACTCGGTCATCTTGAGCGCGATGACCGCCTCGATGCGCTGGAGCAGCTCGACGTCGTACTGCGTCACAAGCGTGACGGAGCGGCCCGAGCGGCCGGCACGTGCGGTACGGCCGACGCGGTGGATGTAGTCCTTGGAGTTGGTGGGGATGTCGTAGTTGACCACCAGGTCGACGGCGGGGATGTCGAGACCGCGCGAGGCGACGTCGGTGGCGACGAGGATGGAGCGACCGCCCGTCTTGAACTTGTTGAGCGCGCCCAGACGCGCCTGCTGGCTCAGCTGGCCGTGGAGCGGGATGGCGGGGAAGCCGAGCAGACGCAGCAGGATCGAGAGGCGCTGCGAGTCGTGCACGGTGCGCGTGAAGACGATGATCGAGTGGCCCGCCTGCTCGTTGGCGAGGTGCACGAGGTAGGTGTCCTTGTGCGCAAACGGCATAAAGAGGTAGTGCTGCTTGAGCGTCGAGACGGTGGTGTACTTGGTGTCCACCTCGACGCGCACGGGGTTCTTGAGCGAGGCGCGCTGGAGCTTGGCCACCTTGGTGGTCATGGTGGCGCTGAAGAGCATGGTGCGCCTCTCGCGCGGGATGGACTGGAGCAGCTTGTCGATGATGGGCCCGAAGTCCATGTCGAGCAGTCGGTCAGCTTCGTCCATCACGAGATACTGCAGGCCGCGCAGGCTGAAGCCCTTCGTGTTTTCCAGATGGTCCTGCAGACGACCAGGGGTAGCGACGATGACGTGCGGCCGCTTGGAGAGTGCGATGGACTGCGACATCATGTCCATGCCTCCGACGATGGTCGCGGAGCGCACGCCGATGGTGGAGCCGAGCGCCTCGACCTGCTGCGAGATTTGGTAGGCGAGCTCACGCGTGGGTGCAAGAACGCACGCAAAGAAAGGCTTGGGGTTGTCCCACAGCGCCTGAAGGATCGGAATGGTGAACGCCGCCGTCTTGCCCGAACCGGTCTGGGCGAGACCGATGACGTCGCGCGCCTGGAGCGCCTCGGGGATGGCCTTGACCTGGATGGGCGTGGGATGTTGGAAGCCCATGTTGGTACACGCCTCGATGATCTGCGAGATCACACCGAGGTCGGCGAACGTCACCTTTTTGCCGTCCTCGGCGAGGGTGGCCACCTTCTTTTCGTCCTGCTCGTCATCATCTGGTGCGGCTGCTGTGGCGTCTTGGTCATTATCCGAATCGCTGCCGCTCCCGCTCGCACCGCCTTGACTCTCGTCTTCGCTTTCATCTTCACTTGCGCTGGCTGTTGCAGCCTCGGCTTCAGAGTCCTCCTCTTCCTCCTCCTCCTCGTCTTCATCGGAAGGGGATGGCGGTCGAGGAGCTGGCTTGGCCTTGTTGGACTTGGCGCTGCTGGCTGGCGACGGCGTGGAGGTGGATGCGGACGCCGAAGCGACGCGCTTGGCCGGAGAAGCTGACGCCTTTGGCATGACTGGCAGAAGCTGTGTCCGATGTAGTGAAGGGTCGGGATGACGGTTGGCGAAAGGGCAAGGCGAGGGGAAGATTTGGCCTCCTCTCCACACAACTCCCAAGAAAAAACTCAGCGGCGGCGTTCCTGCACCCTTGACAATAAAAACAGCCGAGTTCCGAGCCATTTGGCATCGATCTTCATTCGTGCGAATGAAATGGCCAAATTGCGCATCGAATCGAGACGACATCCCGATCGCTGAGTTAGTGCGGCGCGCGGTTGGCATTCAGACTCGAGGCTCACGAGGGAGAGACGCGCCGGCCGCCGAAAGCAAAGCAACGCCAGGCGAAAAAGGCCACACAACACCGTCTCGTCGCGCGACCTTTTCGCCCACCGCCATCTCTCGCACCCATCTCCCCCAGCTTTGCCCTCTGGCATAGCGCGCCATCTCTCTCGAGTGCACCTCACCTTTCCTGCGCTCTTCGCATCCTCGGCATCCCAGGCTGCATCCTCATACCCATTTCGGCTAGTCTCGACGCCGCAGCCAGCTCAAACGAGCGCATGCAATCTGCGCATCACGGCCGAGAGAACTAGCACTGCTCTAGTGCCTTTAATTTCCAAGCTCCCCCCACTTTCGGCGCGTCGTCCGCTCTCACATTCGTTCGCTTCGAGCTCGGTCCGGCATCGTGCAACAAACACCGCGCTCCGTCATATCCTCGCCCAAGTCGCCTCGGTCACGCCTCGTCAACGTCGTCGGCGCGCAATCACACATTGGCCCTAAATCAACAGCGACTCGACATCGTAAAGTAGCGACACAGCCGGACCTCTTCCTCCTCGGTCCTCGCGGCGGTGCCTGCT